CCTCGATCCGAGACGATGTCCTCCGGAATTCCATGTAGTCTTATAACTTCCTGGATAAAAATTCGCGCAGTCTCGGCTGCTGACGGAGTCTTCTTTAACGGTAAAAAGTGAGCCATTTTCGATAACCGATCAATGACTACGAGGATCGCGGTGTGGTCTTGAGACGGGGGGAGCTCGACTATAAAGTCCATTGCGATCCTTTGCCAAGGTCGCTCGGGGGATCGGCAAGGGCCGCAGCAGCCCCCAGGCCTTGTTCCTCGATGGCTTGTTCTTCTGACAGATGGTGCAAGATTTTACGTAGAGCCTGCAATCCTTGGCCATGTTTGGCCACCAAAAGGAACGTTGGAGAAGTTCCAGGGTCTTCGCTGGGCCAAAGTGTCCCGCCATTGGATGGTCATGACACTGCCCCAAGACAAGGGTTCGGACCTCTTCGGGTACCATGATCAATCCTTCCTTCCAGAGGAGTCCCCCCTTGTTTTGGAGGGGTACCCCAGCTGGGGTCACTGTGGTCGTGGATGCATCCATTAGTTTGGACCGAAGGTCAGTTTGGAGAGCCAAGAAATTCCCTGAGGACAGAATAGTATCAGGTACCGGTTCTTCTTTGGAGTCTTCGAACATGCGTGATAGCGCATCGGGTTTTGTATTTTTGGACCCTGGCCTGTAAGTGATATGGAATATGAATCTGGAGAAAAACAGTGCCCATCTTGCCTGCCATGGACGTAACCGTTTGGCAGTCCTCAGGTACTCGAGGTTTTTATGATCAGTGAAGATCAAAGATGGGGTGTGAGGCCCCTTCCAGCAAGTACCTCCATTCTTCCAGTGCCGTTTTGATGGCTAACAACTCCCGATCACCAATATCGTAGTTCTTCTCGGCTGGGGTGAGCTTCCTCGAGAAGAACGCTATGGGGTGGAGTAATTCTTTGGTGCCTTTTCTCTGGGACAGGATGGAACCCACCGCATTCTCAGATGCGTCTACCTCCAGTACGTAGGGCAGGGAAGCGTCTGGATGGCCCAAAATGGGTGCCGTGGTAAATAGTTTTTTCAAGGCCTCAAAGGCTTCCTGAGCCTCCGGCGTCCATCTGAAGCGGGTTCCAAGTTTGGTTAGCTGAGTTATGGGGGAGACCAGACCCGAGAAGTTCCTAATGAATTTCCGATAGAAATTCGCAAAGCCTATAAAGCGCTGGATGCCCTTTTTGTCTGTGGGCACAGGCCAATCCAAAATTGCAGAGACCTTCTGAGGGTCCATTGCGATTCCCGTGGTGGAGATAATCAACCCCAGAAACGCGATGCTGGACTGCTCGAAACTGCACTTATCTGCTTTGGCGTATAACCCATGCTGGCGCAATCGACCCAAAACCTTTGTCACGTGTATTCTGTGATCCTCCAGAGAGGATGAGAAGATCAGTATATCGTCTAGGTAAACTATTACAAAAACGTCAAGGTAATCCCGGAAAATGTCGTTTACAAAATGTTGGAATGTGGCTGGGGCATTGCACAGTCCAAATGGCATTACCAGATATTCGAAATGCCCAAACCGGGTACGAAACGCTGTCTTCCACTCATCCCCTTCCCTTATGCGAACCAAGTTGTAGGCCCCCCTGAGATCTAGTTTAGTAAATATTGTCGCAGCCTTCAGGCTCTGAAATAATTCGGGTACCAATGGCAGAGGGTAACGATTTTTAATCGTGACTCTGTTCAGTTCACGATAGTCAATGCAGGGTCGCAGAGATTTGTCTTTTTTCTCTACAAAGAAGATCCCCGCTCCGGCTGGTGAAGTAGAGGCACGGATGAACCCCTTCTGGAGACTGTCCTCTATGTATTCCTTCAGGGCCCCCAATTCTAGCTCAGACAGGGGAAAAATCCGTCCAAAAGGGATCTCGGAGCCGGGCAACAGATCAATTGGACAGTCATACGGGCGGTGGGGGGGCAAGGTGTCTGCCCCCCGTTTACTGAATACATCTAAGAATTCGTGGTATGCTGCGGGAATAACCTGTTTCAGGTCGGAGTCTCCCTCGGAGCACAGGAGGACCTGGGGGGCTGCAGAGCCCGCAGTGTGACAGTGTTCCTGACAATACAGGGACGGGAACAAGATAGACCCGGTTTCCCAGTCAATTTGGGGGTTATGGGCCCGCAACCAAGGGAGTCCCAAAATGACTGGAAAAAGAGGTGACGCAATGGCATCTAGGCGGAGGAATTCCTGATGCTGGTTAGCAATGGTAGTGGCGATAGGGGGAGTTTCCTGGTTAACTACTCCTGACTTTATCTGGGAGCCATCTGCCAGAAATATGGTAAAGCCCCGTTTTCTGGGCTGGAGGGGAATCCCCTGCTGATGAGCAAAATCTAAATCCAGGAAACAACTGCATGCCCCTGAATCAACTATGGCCGTCACCTCCACGGTCCTTTCTGGAAGCTGAAAGGAGAGGGGCACCACTAAGTATTGGGACGGACTGACCTTGCCAATAGCCAGAGAAGAAAAAGAGGTGCACTTACTCATTTTCTGAGGGCAGGATCGTACCATATGATCGGCTTCACCGCAGTAGAAGCAGAGGTTCAGAGAGCGTCTCCGCTGGCGTTCTTCTGGCGATAATTTAGGCCGAGCCAAGCCTAGTTGCATTGGTTCCTGCGCATCTCCTGGAAGTGGGTTCTGGATCTTTGTTCTGGTTTGTTGGCTGGGGCCTGGAATTGGACCCCATGCATTTCCGTGACCCTGACCGGACCTCTCCAACCTGCGTTCCCGCAGTCTACGGTCTATTTGAATCGTCAGGGCTATTAGGTCTTCTAGTGACTCGGGAACCCCCACTCGGGCCAGCTCATCCTTCAAGGGCTCTGACAGACCCATACGGAACTGGTGTCGCAACGCGAACTCGTTCCAGTGTGTGTCCCCCATCCAACACCTAAATTCAGAGGCGTATTCTTCTGCCGCCCGGCGGCCCTGTCGAAGCGTGGATAACATTGCTTCAGCAGAGGCTGCCCGCTGTGGATCATCATAAAGGATGGCCATAGCTTCAAAAAAACCGCTGACCGTTCCCAGGTGAGGGTCATGGTCTTCCCTTAACCGATGGGCCCAATCTTGGGGTTCACCCTGCAATAGTGAAATTAAAAATCCCACTTTCACTGATTCCGTTAGGAAGGTGCGGGGTTGCAATTCAAAAAACAGGAGGCAGGAATCCCGAAAAGACCTGAAGCGTGTTCGGTCCCCGTGAAAACGCTCAGGCAGTGGTACTCGGGGTTCAACCCTCGGTAGAGGAGCAGAGGCCCCTGAAGCTGGCCCCAGAGCTTCTTCTACCGGGGGAGCGGAAACAGGGGCCTGTGGAGCAGGGCCAGATGCAGAGCGGGTCTGGAAACGGTTTTCCAGGTGCGTGCATTTGTCCTGCAAGGTTGCCACAGCCTGTGTCAGGGCTGATAGGTGCCTGCAAATATCTCCCAGCGGGGCTGACCCTCCTCCAGGCTCAGTCATGGCCTTCTGGTACTGTAAGGGACCACCAGGCGGTACCACTAGCACTCCACTGGCCAGGCGTCCCCAGCGCACGGTATCTAAGCCCCAGGGTACGTGTTCACCAGAGCCCCTGATGGTGGGGATGGACTTGAAGTACCCCGAGACCAGGTCGTGGCTACTGAGCACGCCCGTCAGTGGTAGCGGTATTCGCCAGGGGCTCCCGCAGGGAAGAGCCTGATGTGAGGAGGTCGGGTGATCCCGTCGGGATGGATGGATGGATGGCTGAGCAAGTGCGGGGTCAAACGGGCCGGGTCGGTAACAGTGGGGACGGAGCAGTACAAGGCAGCGGGCAGAGAGTAGTCGGGTCACACGCCAGGTCAGCAACGGAAGGTCAGATCCAAACAGGGGCATTCAGGAGAGAGGTCAGGCAAAGCAAGGGTCTGGGCAGGAGAAGGCAACAAGGTCAGGTATAATCCGGGTCAATAACTTACTAGAACAGGTTCGCAGATACAGGATACAAGGAAAGACCAGAAGGCACTGAATGACAGCTCAGGGCCGTTTAAATATCCCGCCCTGCGCTGCCATTGGTGCCACGCGCGCGCGCGCGGGTCCCCACTGCGCATGCGCGAACTCCCTCGCCGCGGACGGCCAGGTCTCAGTGCCCGCATTCTGACACGGAGCGGTGCACTGCGCCTGCGCCGAGCCCGTCGCAGCGGGGATTCCTGACACTAACAGCCTATACTGCATACCAGCCTATCTCAGCCATTGTTACATGTAACACAAAGTGTTCCTACAGAGGTTACTAGGGTTCCTTGAGCAGTGGTGGATTGATTTTCTGTCTGGTGGTGTCTGCAAAGTTCTAATACCAATGTCACTAACCAGAGCAAGGGTCATTGACCACCAATGTAATACGCCCTTCTGCAATGATCACCAGTGTAAAGCAACCTGCCAAATTTCAATCTATGTTTGGACTAGCTGGAAAGGCTTCCCACTGGCAGAATACAATAGCTTAGCAGGAGTGATTTCCCCATCCATGTCAAATGTGTGGACTCCTTCATCCACTGACCAACAATGTAAGGGCTGACTTTTAAACTAGCGCTTATTTATAACCACTCAATGTTGTTTTTATCATTTTCAGCATAAAATGCATTAACCTTCTTTGTCCCTGACACTGTCTGTGATATGGATTTTATCTACATTTAATAGACTGAAGAATGCAGAGGATTCCGGACATTCTTTCTCTTGTAGTTCTACACACAAGCGAGGTAGATGGAGGAATCCTCCCTGCTGCAACATTGTATGGACTCTCCTCTGTCAGAATAGGCTGCAGTCGCTGATCTAACAAAGTTTTCCATTCAAATGTATTTGACCTACTGATCGACTGCTGCTGTCTGTACCCACCCTAATTAAACTACATTTATTATGCTTTTAATCTATTTTATAACTATAATTTACAGATCAGATTATGTAATATTTTTAGCAGGGGTTTCCCAAGACATGAATTTTTTTAAGACTTCCCCTAAGGTGAAAAAGACTGAGAAAGGCTGCTTTATATTTTTACCGCTCAACCCCTTGGCGCCTCCTGGCCCTTTAAGGGTTTCAGAAGCCGGGAGGCGGGGCGGGTTTTAGGGTCATGTGACTCGTCGTCACGACGGTCACATGATCAGGAAAGGTCCTGATCGAAAGAGGAGATTGGGACCTTTCCGTGAGTACCGGACATGTGTGCTGGTTTTAGGGTCATGTGACTCGTCGTCACGACGGTCACATGATCAGGAAAGGTCCTGATCGAAAGAGGAGATTGGGACCTTTCCGTGAGTACCGGACATGTGTGCTGGGAGTGCGCAGGGCACGCGCTCTCAGCACATATGTTTTTCTTAATTGCACGCAAATGTGTGGCCACTCGGCATCAAGGCCCAGACGCCGGGAGGCCGCACATTTGCGTGTGGCTGGCGCGAAGAGGTTAAAGCAGCTTTAATTATTATTATGTTTTTGTTCCTACAGTTTGCTCTAGGTAATTCTTCAAGGCTGAAATATAATTACGTAGTTTGAAAAGGTTCTTTTGTAAAGGGTAAATTCTGGGGCTATGAACATTAATCTATTTTGGACACAGACATTACTGTAGCCAGGAGCTAATAGTAAACATTCCTAGTAATAGATAATGTAGTTATTCAGCTTTATAAATGAAGCACAACAAAGTACTAAGAAGAGAAATGACATGCATTGATAGCTTATTGTATTGCTGTTGTATTGGTTACCTTTCTGTATTACCGAACAGAAGACATTTCTTTTTTTCCTGGGCAAACTGACAGACAGTTAACGATTTTGTGTCAACATTATAGATATACTCTTTGGATATACAGAAGACTTACTGAATAAGTACTCTATATATATTTTAGTTATTCAGTTTCAATTAGGGCAGTTTAACAGAGTCTCTTTAAAGCCTACCCCTCAACCCTATTGTACTCACCTTTTCCTCCACCACTCTGTTGTTCCAGCCACTACAAAATGACCAGTATCTTTCGGTCTGGGGAAGCAAGTGCCCCTTCCCATAATGCAGTACTCAACCCTGAGTAACCAATTGCCAGGATCTAACACTGTCACATGAGGGAGAGAATGACATCATCAACCCTGTGCAAGTTCCAACATTATGTAACACAGAGCTTTCACAGTGTAAGACTGGGAGCAGGGAGAAGTACAGTAAATGGAAGTGGTTCAGGGGTGGGCTAGTAAAAACAACTGTCACTTTGCAGCCAAAATGACTGTGTTTATTAGGATGCATAACCGATGCTGGCCATATGCATGGTCAGTTTTCTAGGTATTTGAATTTTCATCCAACTTTTAATTGCAAAAACAATTAAATGGATTAATGGGTGCTACCACCGTACTTAACAAAAAATTCTAAATATACAGGCTGTGGCTGATAGGTTGCCTCGATCATTTTTGCAATTGAAAACTAGTTAAAAGTGAAATTGCTAGAATTTTGCCTTGAACGGCCAGCTTCACTATTGTCAAACCCGGTGTTAATAAAATGTTTGGGAGGAACAACACTGGTTTTGAAACAAAATGTAAAGTATGTTTACTTTTCTGCCTGTAACAGTTTGCTAGCATTGTCCAGCACTGCTTCCTTGTACTTTCAGGATATTTTGGAAAATAAATGATATGAATTGGTCTTATCTTAAAAGCTCTTTTCATAATGACACCACAACAAAGTGAACTCAGCAAGTGTCAGGAAACACTGATATTATCTTAGGAACATGCAGCTTTTACAGTGGAATTTCGGAAGTTGCTAGCTTGTTTTACAAACTGAAAACAAAACAAAAGCGTATTTATCATCATGCAATTTGAAGAGATGTGTTTAATATGACGATATACTGTATGTTTCTGTCTGCAAAGATGTACATATGGCATATCAGAACATGCCAACAGAAGTCTCTGTTTGCGGTGAGTGTGTCCGATATGTGAACAAGTGCAGACGTGTCTGGAAGGAGCTCCATCCATCCTTCTCCCATCCTATGTAACCTAGGGATATCAGGCCACTGCTGTCTATTTGCACTTTTGGGGACCCCTCAGAGCTGATCAGATGCCATTGAAATGCCAGATCAGTCCAGGCGAGTTCCAGGTCCCGCCGGCCATATTCTTCCCCCATCTTGGCTCCTTTTTATCCACAATGAACTTATAGTTCACAAGTATAAGGGGCTATGTTGGCTCCTCACAACGGCTCAACATCTCTGCAGACTGCCAACCCTGCTGCTTCTCCTGACACTATATTTATTTTACACCCTATAGACTCTCTTAAATCCTCACTTTGAGGAATGCATTGAATGGAATGAATTGAACAATTGGCGGTTTAATGCAATCGTATCTGCCATGATATTGACCCATTTCACAACAAGCTTACTGGGGCTGAGGACCATGTGGCTGCAATTGAGGATACCGCTCATGCCTATACTGTGACAATTAAGGAACTGCAACAACCGGTCCAATGCTCGTTGGAGAGAGCAGAGGATGCCGAGAGTCGCCTCTGGAGAAATAATGTATGGGTGGTGGGCATCCCAGAGGGCGCAGAAGGGCAGCATCCTGAAACCTTCGCTGAATCTTTCTTTAAAGAGCTCCTCAACTTGACTGCAGTCTCCTCTGCCTATGTTGTTGAAAGGTTCCAACTGGCCCCAGGCCTATCCTGGTGCAGTTTCTAGGAATCAGGGCCTAATTTTATCTGTGGCACGAAATAAACCACTACTATGCTTTGAAAATATTTATGTTATGTTGCTCCCTGTTTTTTCCATGGACATCCAGCAATGAAGGGGAACCTTTTGAGATTTTAGGAGATGCCTGTGAGTCAAAAGAAATACCTACAGTATGTTGTATCCAAGCAACAAGGGTGGTCTATGAGGGCTCAACAAAATTCTTTGTCAAGGATACGAAATGTAGGCATCCAGGAGCAGGGATGATGAACAGATTTGTGAGCTGCAGACAGGAAACTGAAACCAGACTATATATAATTGAAATAAGATTTATTAATAGTGTAACAAAACCCATTCAAACACCAACAATCAAAATACATAGAAACATGAAGCTATAAGTGAACCATAACCAAGTCACAAAATACCTAGCTAGCAAACTAACTAAATGACAGAAAACCTAAAAGAATTAACTATAGTACATTATATACAAACAAACAGGGAACACTGATCATCAGGATAAAACCTGAGATGTAAGAAATAGTTAGGAAGGGGGAACTAGGACTGGGATCAGGAACAAGGGGAGCAGATATGAGGCAGCAGGGTGTAGGATACAGGTACAGGGAAGGATCAGGATTAGGCAGGATTTAGGCTCAGAATTATCCAGGAAGCATGTATATGGCTATCAGGCAAATACTGAAGCAAGAGGAAATAGTGAAGAGGGACTAAATACCCTACCAACAGCTAGCATCAGATGAAGACTAATTGCTGAAATCTGTTAGCTGCTGGGAGACACCTGCTGGTGAACAATGGAACCAGAAACCACAGTCCCACCAGCAGGTGATCCAGTTCCTGACATTCTTTGACACTTTAGAGCATGTAGCTGCTTGGCTGTAGTCAGTGTGAGATGTAATACCTGATACATGGATAATTCAGTCATGCCATTTCTGCAGCTATCACTTTCCTCATTTCCTCATACCCCCTATTGCTCGTTGGAACTGATACTTCAATTGTTGATTTCCATCCAGCTTCGCTCTTCTGACTTGACTCTCCATCTACTCCGACACATCCCTGGCTGGATCCTCTTCATACTCATGTCCCCATGCTTCTTCCTACCAGCTGATCTGCCTGAGATGACAGAAAACTCTGTCTCTTTCTGGATGGTCTCCGCCTTATCTCTGCAACTCCCATATCTACCCCCCCCCCCTTCCCTAGCTCTTCCGTTGGGGCAAGTTGAGTTTTATAGCCCTATAGCTGCTACATTAGGCCCCAACCTTGGACTGAAGGGATACCTCTGTTCAAGTTTCTAGTTTTGGTTATGGGTCGCACATCTCCCTATTTCTGCTCCCACAGTTATTTAATTACATACTCTTACAATGGCTGACTCTATTAAGCTAGTGTCTTGGAATGTCAGAGGCCTGAGTTTGAGAATTAAAAGAGCCCTTGGTCCTAGGGTCTATGCAAGTGTAGATAAGAATAGACACTGGACATTCCAAGCCTGAACAATGATAATTGGGATGATGTCTGGGATTATCCTTATCAATACCTTATCTTCATGAAGAATAAGTTAATACAGTTTAAAATTATTCATTGCTTTTACCTAAAACCTGATAGAGTGGGGAAATTTGGAGCTGGTTCCACCAGGGAGTGTTGGCAATGTTCCCACCCTCAGGCATACTTTTTCAATATCTTTTGGAGCTGTCCAGAGATAGTCAATTACTAATCACAGATTTTTCTATTACAGCTGTAACGGCTATCCAGACACACCAGGATTCAACAGTCTGCCTTGGGTCTGAATTGGGTCTTGTGGAACCTCTGGCATTCTGCTATATTATGCTAGAAAAGCAATTGTTCTCCTCTGGAAATCTGCTACTCCCTCATCCTTGGACAAGTGGAAGTCTATTGTCAACTTTCCACTCTATAAATCTTCTTATAACAGCTTAGGGTGTCCTACTAAGTTCAACAGGGTTTGGTCCCAGTGGCTGGAGAATTCAACCATATCTTAAGATGGTTGATTCTTAAATTAGGCTAATTGTGGGTTTCTCCTTTTTTACTCATCCTGCTGAAGTGGTTTAGGCTCTGTTTTTTGGCTTAAAGTTAGCTGATCCACTGGACATTTAGCCCCATTTTATTCTACTTCTTTATGCATCCTCTGCTGTTGTTCGGGTGATACTGGGTGTTGGGATTTGTCGGTAGTAATCCAAACTCATGGCGACGTTTCTCAATGCAAAATTCTTATTCGTGTCATTGTACCTCTGTCAGTAGCAGTGCACTACCAGACTGCAGACAAGCTTATCTCAGGATTTTCTTTTTTTATTTCACTGTTGGAGGTATCTGTTGACACACTGCCTTTATGGGTTGTATGTTTTTTTTTTTCTTTATACAAAGAAAATAAATTTCAGAAAAAAAATCAATATATGTACATTTTACTTTTTTCTTTCCATTGTCATAAAAAAATGTCCAGATGACAAACATAGGAAGTTGACACATGTCCCTTCACTAGTGGAGTGAAGGACATCCTGACTGAGATAATGCATATGAAGAAGCTTGTGGCTATGGATAGAGATGCATACAACATGTTTCAGAACATAAGGGCTTCTTGGTTTGTTTGTAAGGTATCCTATCAGTTAGAGACATGGCCCAAAGAAGGGTAAACACACAAAAAACAAAAATCGCTGGACACCCAAAGACAAAGAGGGATCCAGTGATCCACCAAAGAAGGCAAAAAAGAAGAGGGCTGTAGTCAGTCCTCCTCATATGATCCTCGCAAGTCCAAATTTCCATGGACTTTATAAGGAAGGGGGCCTTTTTATGCACACTAGGAGAGGAGTGGAACATGACATTTTGTATCACTGCAAGGCAGGGGCGGACTGACAACTCATGGGGCCCCCGGGCAATTGGGGATCATGGGGCCCCTGTGTCCTTGCCCACACTCAAAACACACCCAAAAAAGCCTATAAAAGGTACCAGGAGCATTTTATGGGGCCCCCTACTGACCCAGTGCCCAAGTGCTTGAATGGTCAGTCCGCCCCTGCTGCCAGGATATTTTTAAATAAAATAATGGTGGGAAGAGAGTGTACATGGATACCTGGTGGACTTCATAAGGAAAAAAAAAGCGCTTTACTTCTGAGAACTAAGGGTTGTAGTGCACTAATACATGTGACTATACATGACTTTATCCTTTTAATAAATGTTTTATATTATAGAAAGCACTATGTGAGGTCTGTGTGTTTTTGCCGAGTGATTTTTTGCTGAGTGATACACCCCAGGAGGAGTTGAAAAGAACTGTTGGTAATACTTATCCCCAACAAAGGCAAAAAAGCATTCTATGACAGGTCATTAAAGAAGGTGAGAGTACACTTTGCATGGAGATGGGATCATGTGGTGAAGGTTGAAATGAGCAGTGGTGGATTTCTTTTTAAGAGTGTGAATTCAGGATTGATTTCGAGCACAAGACCAATTTTTGCAATGTACTGTAAATCTGAACTTTGTGGTGATTGATTTTCCAAGTTTGATTTTTTTGAAGGACACTAGAGCACATCCTTGTTTTTTGGTTTCCTTTAATGCCCAAAAGTTATATATTTTTATGTTGATTATTTAAGACGCTACAGTTTATTATGTGCATATACTCTCCATCTGATGCCCACTCATCTTTCTGCCCCTACTACTGTGTTATTGTTTACTGCACCATAGTCATTCTGTGTAACATTTCTATTTTTTCTGTTGGATTCAATCCGTATATGGGGCTTTGATGTCATACCTCATTTAAATATTCAGTTTGTGGATATGACCTGTTATTATGTTAATATGCTCTTAATAAGGTAAATTTGAAAGGCAAAATTTCTGGGAACATTTAGTTTCAAAAATAAAAAAATCACCTTAATACATGTGATACTGTCTCATACCACCATAGATCACTACATTTATTATGACACATTATTTAAATTGAACCTTCATGATTTAGTACACAACAGTTGGCAAGTTTCCTCCCCTTTATGTGTATCAAAATTGCATAATCATGACAATTGTAAAAATGTTACATAAAAAACAAGATAATTACAATACGCTATTCAAATAATTGGAACATCAGATATGCATCTCTATATTTAGCCCATGGACCTTCAAGATTACATTTTTTAGAATCTTGCTACCCAAAGGCCCAATAAACTGCACAATTAAAAATCTAGAAATCTGATTTATGATTATGATATTACTTATTTAACATACCTTTCTATCAGTTGATCTTCTAAGCAAATTTTCTTTAATGTGATCAATAATATAAATGTTTTTACATTTATATCCCTTTCCTAGATACCATCCTTTGTTATAATAGCTGCTTTGCTCTTCATTATACTGTCCCTGTTTTAACCACATCCCAACCGCCCTATAGCAGATATACTGTACAGGGCAGCAAAAAAAAAAAAAAAATATATATATATATATATCTATATATATATATATATATGTGATTTTGCAAATCCGGGTAGGGATCACGCGTGAGCTGTCAATCACCGGGTTCCGGATGGTGATTCCCTTTCAATTCCCTCCAAAGGTTTTCTATGGGGTTGAGGGGTTGAGATCTGGAGACTGGCTAGGCCACTCCAGGACCTTGAAATGCTTCTTACGAAGCCACTGCTTTGTTGCCCGGGTGGTATGTTTGGGATCATTGTCATGTTGGAAGACCCAGCCACATTTCATCTTCAATGCCCTTGCTGATGGAAGGAGGTTTGCACTCAAAATCTCACGATACATGGCCCCATTCACTCTGTCCTGTACATGGATCAGTCGTCCTGGTCCCTTTGTGGAGAAACAGCCCCAAAGCATGATGTTGACACCCCCATGCTTCACAGTAGATATGGTGTTCTTTGGATGCAACTCAGCATTCTCTCTCCTCCAAACACGACGAGTTGTGTTTCTACCAAACAGTTCTATTTTGGTTTCATCTGACCATATGACATTCTCCCAATCCTCTTCTGGATCATTCAAATGCTCTCTAGCAAACTTCAGATGGGCCCGGACATGTACTGGCTTAAGCAGGGGGACACGTCTGGCACTGCAGGATCTGAGTCCATGGCGGAGTAGTGTGTTACTGATGGTAGCCTTTGTTACGTTGGTCCCAGCTCTCTGCAGGTCATTCACTAGGTCCCCCTGTGTAGTTCTGGGATTTTTGCTCACCGTTCTTGTGATCATTTTGACCCCACGGGGTGAGATCTTGTGTGGAGCCCCAGATCGAGGGAGATTATCAGTGGTCTTGTATGTCTTCCATTTTCTAATTATTGCTCCCACAGTTGATTTGTTCACACCAAGCTGCTTGCCTATTGCAGCCTGGTGCAGGTCTACAATTTTGTTTCTGGTGTCCTTCGACAGCTCTTTGGTCTTCACCATAGTGGAGTTTGGAGTGTGACTGTTTGAGGTTGTGGACAGGTGTCTTTTATACTGATAACAAGTTCAAACAGGTGCCATTGATACAGGTAATGAGTGCAGGACAGAGGAGCCTCTTAAAGAAGAAGGTACAGGTCTGTGAGAGCCAGAAATCTTGCTTGTTTGTAGGTGACCAAATACTTATTTTCCACCATAATTTGCAAATAAATTCTTTCCAAATCAGCCAATGTGATTGTCTGGATTTGTTTTCTCATTTTGTCTCTCATAGTTGAGGTCTACCTATGATGCCAATTACAGGCCTCTCTCATCTTGTTAAGTGGGACAACTTGCACAATTGGTGGCTGGCTAAATACTTTTTTGCCCCACTGTAGTGGTTTCAGGTAATGGCTTTGTTTCAACCTACTTGTGAAATTGATGATTATTAGCACCTGCTTGGTATAATTGGCTAGTCATACACATAACTCTACTCCTACAAAATCCCCGACATTGCGCAAGTTTTGCAAAGTGTGCAATTGTAAGAATTAATTCTGGTTTGAAGCCAAAGGGTAGTAAAAAAATATTGAAATATTGATTTAATTTAAAATTATCTTCTGTTCTCTCACTTTGCATTTTTTAAATAATACAAATAAACAATTCAAGTATATATTTCCGAAAGTGTGTATTGTATGGAACACACCAGGGATGAGTCCTGGATGGTAGTCACAGTATATAAGGATGATAAAGTACAATAAAGAGCAGTTTAGGAGTACCCAGGAATACATTCAGGCCAAAAAGTGTGGGAAGCAGCCAACAGGTGGATGAGGTGTTGTGTGGAGCAGGACAACATTGTCAAAAAGAGCTGTAGGCTGTTTGCCTGCTGAGATCCTGATGGATTTATGTGACTCTTTCTGGACCTCTGGAGCAGACAGGAACTTCAAAACCCTGTTGTAGGACAAGTTTATGCTGGCAGTGAGCCGAAGCTTTATGATGCACCAGATTGTTTTATTTGTTTTGCTGAACATAAACTGTTTTGTTTGCCTTTCTTGGAGAAATAAAAAGACACAGCTGGCTGGCTGGCTGGCTGGCTGGCTAGATCCAGAACCCAAAATATCTATGTATAAATGTAGCATACTCAATGGACTACTTGGCCTTTTTCTGCTGTCACTCTTCTATTTTTCTATGGCTGCTGTTCAGGAGGTAGTGAGTCATGATAGTTGGGAGGCCAATGATAGAGCAGGGGAGATCAGCACAAGAGCTGGAACCAACAGACTTAGGAGGACAAGTACTGTGTGCTGTACACTATTTGCCAGCTGTCAATGATATACTAGAGTTCATATAGGGGGTAATTTTTAAATGATATGCCACACAAGTGCATATAACACTCGCCCTGCTCAATATAGAATTATTTTAAAGTTGAAAGACTAGAAGAGTTGATTCTGGATGAATGTCTCCTAGTTTATTGGCTTTAGAGATTTGTTGAGACTCTGTTATAGGTCTGGAGTCGGTCTTGCCAGCTCTTGATCAATAACAGAGACCCTACACTGTCTTAGACAGCTCAATCACTGTAATGGGAGATTGCAGTGAGTGCGCTCCCAGCACAGAGACCTTGGCCACCCTTGGACACATACGTGTGTCAATAATACCATTTACATTTTACAATAATGTGTGACTGATTAGAGCAGACTTCACCAACCATTGTTCCATGGAACCCATGAATTCCCCCAGAGTTAGCTAGGAGCTCCTTGAGCAATAAGCAATTTCTGCCTCTCATATGAGTGACCACTGACCCCAATGGTCACTCATGGCTTTCATTAAGGGGACATTCTTCCCTTTGACCAAAAAAGTAAGGATGATTCTTCTTAGTGACCATCATGTTATTGTACTGTAAGCTATCGACATAAAAACTATTAGTAGGGGTTCCCTAAGATGGAAAATTATTTCAAGGCTTCCTCCATGTTAAAAGGGTTGATAAAGGTTGTCTTACAGATTGGATAATCTCTTGCATCATTTATCACTCCCACGTCTACATTTTAAGGATACATCTCATAAACTATGTTAACGCCCTTCCTCCTAAACCTATAAACGATCTGTGCTGATTGTAAATTAATGTCTCATATCTTTGTGACCTCTTAGATTTGTTTGCTGATATTAAAGGCAATTTATAATTTTGTCAGTATTATCAATGACTCTTAATAGTTAATAATAGCGTGAGATTTTTGTTTTATTTTTCCTGCAAAAAAAAACTTTTATAAATTAGTAAGTGTGGAAAAAAAACAATAAACTCAATTGTGGTAGAACATGTACGGACAGATGAACAACTGAACAACTGTCTGATCATAGATTTAGTGATTTCAGTGTTATTATTTTTGAAAAATTGTTTAACACAGGAAAAGATTAGTTTGTTAAAATTCAGTCAGATTTCCTTCTAAGACACTGTTTCTTTTTGATAAAAAAAAATAAAATAGGTTATCAATTGACTAACCATTTAGTGTAATTTATTTCTAAAATATGTGGTTCATTGATGCATATGTCACCTAATTAAAGAAAACAAGCTTCATCAACTGCAGGTGC